TGATGCTTCTTCATTCCACGGGTTTTAAGGGTACTATTAGATTCTCTCTGAGTTTATTCTGCAACATGCTTAAGTTTCTCATATTCATATCTCTTGAATTAGTCTGAAGATAGATCAACGTACCTGGTTGGTTTCATTGTAGTCAAATGCTAGACAGACAATTTTTGACATTTAGTACAGCTGTAGAGGTGGTAGGTTCTTAAGATGGAAATTATAAAGATAGAGGTGCATCAAATTGGTGCGGGCAAAACTACAAAAGGGAGTCAAGGACCACTCGTCGTGGATCTAACCTGCATAGGAAAACCTATGAGTCTCTACCAGCCTTTTTAGAAACATGCATATTTGGAGAGAGTTTTTGGTGAATGATGTTTTATATATTTCAGGCTCCTGAATGCTTTTTGTTGGAATGTTTCCAATTCTTCTAGGAAATGAGGAGAGTTTTCTAGTCAGTACTAGATAATATTTGTTTTAATGAAGAAGAATACTCTGCTGAAAGTACCAGTTATCTGAACTTTCAAATGCTCATGATCCCTTCCCTAGTTCAAAGAGGAAAAAACAGATGGAAGTAATTGAACAAATACCGGTATTATTGTCATAGCATCGAGTTATCTTTCATATTATGTTGCTGCAAAAATTTATGGAATGGCCATTTATTTTCTGCTAGATTTTATTTTCTTCAATGAGAACTGTTTAGCAATTCATGGAATATGCACATCTTTTCAGATTCTTGTACCAATTGCTAATGGCTCTGAAGAAATGGAAGCAGTTATGATTATTGATATCCTGCGACGTGCTAAAGCAAATGTTGTAGTGGCTGCTGTTGGGGATAATCTAGAAATTCTGGCTTCTCGGCAAGTTAAACTAGTAGCAGATATTCTCCTTGATGAGGCTGCTAAATTTTCATATGACCTGATTGTCTTGCCAGTAAGTTTTCACTCTAAAAGCAGGGGAGAGGGAGAAGTGAAGTAGGCATCATGCGGCTTTGTTATTATCATTATGAATCTCCTATTCTTACTCTTCTTTTTATACAGGGTGGACTTGGTGGAGCCCAAACATTTGCAAATTCAGAGATACTGGTAAATATGTTGAAGAAACAGATGGAAACAAATAGACCTTATGCAGCAATTTGTGCATCCCCTGCTTTAGTCTTGGAGCCTAATGGATTACTCAAGGTAAGAGCTGTATTGCAGAAAAAGGGTTTTGGTGAAAAATAACTGCTTCTATGTAAACTGTGCTATTTAAATTAGTGCAGGACAATAGTTGTTCCTAAATTTGTACATCCTGAAACTTCCGGGAGCACAATGACGTTAACTTGAACTATACTTCACTAGTTGCATTTTTTGAGCCTAGCACAATACTATTCTTTTTTTTTTTAAATTTTTTTTTACGGTTGCTGGTATTCTTGTGGTTCTTTTTTTTTCTATACCTTCTTCAGTTCCATTTCTCACCTGTAATAAATTCTTTTGGCACATCAATACTCCTCAACTATGAGACTGTCAGCTGAATAAGGGATTTGTTTTGTATTTACCTAGGGTAAGAAGGCTACAGCTTTCCCTGCATTATGTAGCAAATTATCAGATCAGAGTCATGCCGAGAATCGAGTTGTGGTTGATGGCAGCCTCGTGACCAGCAGAGGGCCGGGAACCACTATGGAGTTTTCACTGGCAATTGTAGAGAAGCTGTTTGGGCGTGACAAGGCACTAGATCTTGCAAAGATAATGCTTTTCACTCGTCAGTAGAGAATGTTTTTGTGAGTGCTCTCATCCCTTTACTCTTTTTTGTAGTCTTTACCGTGAGAACTAAAATGTAAAGTTGAATTAATATTTAGATATTAGACTTAATATGCCGTTATGTTGATGGTATATTATAAATAAATCGGTTATGAAATAACTCGAGTAACGAGAAATTCCAGGCAGGAGAGTTATTACACTCCCTTAAAAAATCTTAACCCGGAACTGTACTTATTTTGGTACGTCAAATATTTTTTTCTTTTCAGCAAGCATTATCTTCTTGAGGAGTTCATACCACTTGGTATTAGAGTACAAGTAGATTATCCCTAATTTAAGTAGTGTGTATATAGTATATTACAAGTGGGTGGTGTCAAAACTTTTCGTAGCACTTTACAAATTGACTGACATAGTATCGAAAGACATAATTTAAACTCGTACGAAAAATTTTTGGACTCTCGTTTTCTCTTATTCTTTTCTTCTTCTTGTTCGGTTACCATCACTGTTTCTTTATATTTTTATGTTATTGTATTTTCTGTTTAGCATGTACCATCATATTTTTCTCTTACAAAGTTAATCACACACACACACACACACACATATATATATATATATATATATATGCATTGAGGTGATTAAATTGTATTTGATTTTCAAAAGTAGCTTGTTATTTGTCAAAGGTGGCCTTGACAAATTTGCTACTTTTCCTTTTTCGGGTTGATTGAGTCTGCTACAAAATTTTATGTATTTATTGTCAATTTTCTTTCTTTCCTTTTTTTTTTTTTCTTGCGAAAAGAAAGTAAATGTAAATTTGACTAACTCAAGGGACTTAGATTTTGTCATAATCAAATCTATAACTGTGAAAGAGATATATTACATTATAATTTAACGCATAATATTCTTATCATAATGTAATCTTCTAATATTTTATATTTTTTCAAAATGCTCATTTTTTTTAAAGGGAAACTCAAGATGGTGGATCGTATTAAGTTTAATTAATAACCCAATAATTACATTTTGTTGGTCTTTATATTATCTTAAATTTCTGACCTTGATGAATTTATTAAAGCACAGAAAATTCAAGGGTTTGTTTTCGTCGTAATTGCAGGGAGGGGGGGCCGGGATACCGTGTTCGGTTTTCCTACCGCTACCCAAAAATCTCAACCTAAACGTAAGTATTGATGAACCTCGAGAAATATAATTATATATTATTCTCAGTCTAGTTTTGAAAATTATTTTTGGCACAGCTAAATCATGCGATATAACAGCGTGTTATAATTGATTTAAACAAGCAAAGTAAGGTGCTAAAATTAAAATGGTAGAGCGTCAAAATTACTTTTATCGTACATAATAAATACCACTGTTATCTTAGCTAGAAAACTTAAATCTATAATTTTTATACGTATCAGAATTAATTTTAATTTCTGGGTTCGGTCGTAATTTCACATATATGAAAAGGGTTTTATATATATATATATATATATATATATATATATATAGCATTATGTGTATATTAGAATTGTAAAGAGGGTTTTAGATAGGCACCGAAGAATTTGCTTCTTGGATCGCACAGAGTAAAGTAAGGTGCTAAAATTAAAATGGTAGAAGTCAAAATTACATAATAAATACCACTGTTATCATAGCTAGAGAACTTAAATCTATAATTTTTATACGTATCAAAATTAATTTTAATTTCTGGGTTCGGTCGTAATTTCACATATATGAAAAGGGTTTTATATATATATATATATATATAGCATTATGTGTATATTAGAATTGTAAAGAGGGTTTTAGATAGGCACCGAAGAATTTGCTTCTTGGATCGCATCAAGTTGACTTGTTCCTTTTGATATTCATAAAATTTACTTGCAAAAATAAATGACCATCCGCCGTCGTCGTTTTCAAAAAACAAAAAGAACCCCATGACTTTTAACACTATTTAAATTACAAGTCGGCATGTGTCAATTTTAAATTTAGTTCAAAAATAATAATTTTACTTAGCCGTAAAAATATAATTTTTTTTATAAAAATAATAAAAAAATAGAATTTAAATTTACGTAATGGACCCTTTAAAAAGCACTATATTATATGAATTAAATATTTTTAATTCACATAAAATTAAAATGTTTTTATTATGCTTGAAAAAAAAATGGACACTAGTTTCCTCCTCCACATTATTGTATGCCTTCGAAAAAGTTGTTTGACTTTTCCAAGAGGTTACTATTTACCCAAAAAAAAAAAAAAAAGATGTGAATTATATACATATATATATATAGATATATTTAATGAAGTCAAAATTCAAGCCTACCAAATTAATTCTTCTTTGGAATTTCTATGATATTGTAGTTTTATATTAAAATAATATGTAATTGTTAGAATTATATAAAAATTTAATGAAAACATTACTAATATTAATTTAAATATAGTAAATTGCAATATATAATTATTAAAATCCGGGGGCTTGACACAGTCCACGTTGTATATTAGCTGGACCAATATAGTTTTTTTAATTTCTATTAATTTAAAGAATTCATATTATGATGTCATAATAAAATATTATTTCATAAAATAAAAATGACATTATTTAAAGGACCAAAATTAATTGCTCATGGGGGACTGCTTTCGATTTTTCTGAATTTATTTTATTTTTTTTCAACTTTCTTTTCTTCTCTCCCTTCCTTGTGTTTGCTTCGTCAACGACCAACCTTTGGATGAGAAGACCAGTAACCACGAGTCTTCTTGGCAGGAACATCATCTCTTTTATCTCTGTGTTTGCAACGACGGGAACTTCCCATTTCTCATTCACTCTCTTTGATTTCTCTTGCAGTCGCTTCTGGTATCTCAGGTTAGCTAATTGTCTGTTCTCTGTCTTTCTTACTCTTTAGCTTCTTTTTTCAGTAAATCTACTTTCTGTTTGGTTGTTGAGAAATGGAGGAAAAGCGGAAAGAAAATGACTTCTGGGTTTTTATCTTTTTTACTTTCTTTCCTCTCTCTTACTCTTCTTCTTATATACCTCTACACGAGAACATGGTTACTATGACAATTGACTTTCTTTTTCTTTTATCTTTTATCTTTTGTGTATTTAACTTTCTCTTTTGAACCCAATTACCTCAAGGTGCAGTTCTTTAGATCGGAGGATTATAGATTTTTGTTTTCTTGTATTCTTTTTCCTCATAAATCCAGCAAGTAGTTTGGCTTTTTCTGACATATGATGAAATACTGAAATGGGTTGACCGCCATGTTGTGTATTTTTCCAGCTGAGGATTAAGAGATAACAGAACCCTTGGCGAGCTTACGTTTTTGTGATAGTAATTTTCACTCGACGTATATCAATGTAAAATTTCCTTTGGTTGTTACTTTTATTGTCATCATATGGTTAGATACAGAAGAATTGGGTTTGTGTTGACTGGTTCTGAATTTCGGTTCCTGATGTTGAACCTTAATACACACTGTTGACAAAATGATGTTCTCATTGGCAGCTCAGGATATTAAAATCATTGAGCTTAACCCGGCCACCAGATGGTCTATTTGCTAGAAATATGGGTTAAAGATGTTGAGTTGAATTGTCTCAGAAAAGAAGATAAAAGAAAAGAAAAGAAATCGAGGTGGATACAGTGTCCTCCTAAAGCTATATTGAAAAGAATTCAAAGTTTTATGTAAAATTTATTTGCAGATCTACATTTATTATATGAGAGATGCAAATTCTATAAAAAGATAATAAAACTTGAGCTCATATAAAATGGAAAAATTCACTCCAAATTCTATTAAATTTGATACAATTTAGAATGTCTTGCTCTTTTAATGGATATTTGAATGCATGATTTCAATTCCAGATAGAATTCTGTACCAACTTAATTTTTTTTTTATAATTATTTTAGATAGAATTTTCGTTATTTATGGATTTAAAAATGAATTCTGCAGAAATTTTGGATTTGTTTCAAAAATAGCGTACGGTTTCAATGGTGAGTACTTTAATTGTTTTGAAACAACTCCTCCCGGCCTAATTACACATGTAAGGACAACTTTCAGCAGTTCTTTTTGCTGCATTCTAAAATGTGGAGAGTGATTAATCATAATGATAATCTTCTAATGGTTGAGGGATAGATTTATTTTGTTTCTTCCCCCTCCTTTGGGCTTTTAGTGGTTAATTGAGTTTCTTTAAAGCAGGAACAAGTGCTTCTTTTTTGGTCACATGATAGAAGTTTATACTTGATGTTTTTTTTTTTCACAGAGCAGGAGTTTGATTTAAGTGGAGGAACTGCTCCTTGAAAACAAACTGGTTATGACTTGCTGCCCACTTTTCAGCAAGAAGAGAGATTCATCTGCTAACCGAACAGTAGGTATCCATGAAGGTAAGGGATCATTCTTATATCTTTCGTTCTTTCTTTCTCCTGAATTGGACATTATCACTAAGCTCATAAGGACCCAAAATCCTGCATTCATCTATGTGTTTCTGACTTGGCTAAATGCAGTTTTACTTTAACATTTTTTAAATTGAGTGCCTCAAAATTTGAGTTTGAGCAATTAAGCGGTCGAGCTTCTGGATTGTGTCTAATCAAACGCCCAGCTTAACACTTTTAAATAACAGTATTAAATATGGTGTCAGATGACACACTTACATACTGGATTAACATTAACCAAGAAAATATTGTTACTATCAAGCAAGTTAAAAGATTCTGAATGTCTTATATCTCTTATTTCATGCACAAAATCTGGGGTATAATTTGCTGCATATGGAAAACCCTCTAATGGATTGTTGTGCACACAGAGGTTTCAGGCATCCAGAACACTAAACTGTTTACCTACCGAGAGTTGCAATTCGCTACTGACAATTTTAATGGAGCCAACAAAATTGGAGAGGGAGGTTTTGGCTCTGTATACAAGGTGATTTCACATTTTCTGATTGTCTAATCTGAAGAAACTCGCAAGTTCGACTTTGATATTTGATCAATATTTTACATGAATTATTATCCAATTTTAACCCTTTAGCAATGTTTCATACCGTGCAGGGACAGCTCAGAGATGGTACCATGGCTGCTGTAAAGGTACTATCAGCTGATTCAAGGCAAGGGGTGCGCGAATTCTTGACTGAAATAGATGTTATTGCAGATATAGAGCATAAAAATCTGGTTAAATTGCACGGTTGTTGTGTGGAAGGAAACCATAGAATTTTGGTCTATGGCTATCTTGAGAACAATAGCCTTGCACGAACACTTCTTGGTAACTATCTTCTATCCTTTTTATGTCTTATTAACTGTCAAATAATAAACCTAATCCCTGCTAATTTTAGGTGGACACGACAGCAGTATACAATTCAACTGGGAAACAAGATATAGAATTTGCATTGGTGTTGCAAAGGGGCTTGTGTTCCTTCATGAGGAAGTCCAGCCACATGTTGTTCATAGAGATATAAAAGCAAGTAATATCCTCCTTGATAAAAATCTGGATCCAAAAATTTCAGATTTTGGCCTTGCAAAACTTTTCCCTGACCACTTAACTCATGTTAGTACACGGGTCGCTGGAACAGCGTAAGTTACTTTCTGGGAAATGTTCATATGTAGTTCAGTACTATAGGTCATCCACTGGCTATAAAAGTCAAACTTTGTTCCATGTGGAATGTAAAAACTCCATTTCTTACAATCTTGAGGGAGCATTATATTATGATGATTGTGTTGTACGATTAATTGATATGTCTGCATAAGAGGGAGAATTTCACTACAGTCAACCAAACTGGACGACCACATACAGGGGAGAATCATTGAATACCAGTGTTCCCTACAGAGACTTATTTTTCATGAAATTAAGGTTTCAATACAATTACAGTGGCTGTATTAATATGCTGGGAGACTTTTGAAGTCCATTTGTACCAACACCTGTTTGGCATGCATGATATTTCACAGGGACTAAGTGCTTGATGGGTCAGCTAGCCTGCTGGATTTTTTCTGTTTAACTGCTCGTCTCTTTTTTTGAACTTAAATTTGATAAAATGAAGTTTCTGGATTTACTAATATTTTCATGTTTCTTTGTGTAATTTATGCAGAGGATACCTGGCACCTGAATACGCAATTAGAGGTCAGTTGACAAGGAAAGCAGATATTTACAGTTTTGGTGTTCTTACATTAGAGATTGTTAGTGGGAGGGCCAACATGAACAAGTATTTACCTGTTGGAGATCAATCACTTCTTGAAAGGGTACAAGTTTTTGAATCTACTATACTTTTTATTGTTATGGTGTTCTTGGTAAAATTGAGATATTCGTGTTTACTTGCCCTAGAGTTTTGAAAGTTTTGAAAATTGAACTTATTTTCACTATCATACCACCTCTATGTTTCTCTTTTTATGTGCATTTCCTCGTTGTTTGCATTGATTGAAATAAGGAGGATCCTTAGTTGTTTGAAGGAAAGTCCAAGAAGTCTGGATCTACTTTACTGCCAATAACCTAATGGTCCTTTAAAATGGATATGACCTATATATCCATCGACTGATTTTGCTGATGATGTTTAAGGTGTTAAGCTCATCTTTTTGTGGATGAAGGCTTTTGAAGCTCATTGTTATTGATAAGGGAAGACAAGGAAAGGCCATTTTTTGATGTTTAATTGGCCTTGCTTGTTTTCACGTGGTTTATTACATTTAATTCACACCCTTTGGGTTCGTTTCTCCCACTAGAAAGTTTATTTTCTGCAGCATCTGCAGAGTCAGAATAAAATCTTTGAATGAGGTAGTTGTTCTATATCAGCAGGATGCTAAGCTTCTAGCCTTCTAGGAATACTTTGGAAATTTTACTGATAAATATTATGCCGGAAGATACTGAAGTTGTTACCTCGAATCAAATTGTGTCCTGGACTCTAGTATTTATAGGAGTTACAGAAGATATTCAGTGTGGTTCATTGAACTGAAGTTAGATTTGGATTTTTTTTACCAACATTTTAAGCACTTGCAATCTGCAGGCATGGAAGCTGTATGTAAAGGGGGAACTGTTGGATCTGGTGGATAAATCATTATGTGGAGATTATAACGCTGAGGAAGCTCGCAGATTCCTTAAGATTGGTCTAATGTGCACCCAAGAGGAAACAAAACGCCGTCCATACATGTCTGTTGTGGTCAAGATGCTAATGGGAGAGATAGCTGTGGAGGACGACGAGATATCCAGACCTTGCTTGCTCCCTTGTTTATTTGGCAAGAACATAAGTGACACTATGTCCGACGGTGCAGCCAAACAATCAGATTCATCGTCATCATCGGGAAACATAATCACCTCATATGCTACCATGACGTTCAATTCTATATATGATCGAAGCAATTAAATCATGTAAAATGTATTCTTTATAGATTTGTTTGGTTATTGTTTCTACTGTTGTTTTGTTTTTTCTCAGTTTTCCTGAGGAAAGCTCGATCGGAGCTAGCTTGGCTTTATGGTTATGGAGTAAATACTCGATTGAGTTATTTTCATCTTCTCTTGGATTATTCATGCTGTATATTCTTTTTATTCAGTTAACCTCACTTCGTGCTCCATTTTTCTTCATCCAATCTTCAAACCATATACTTCAGGATTAAGTTTCAATAACTAACAATGGACTGTTTAAGTGATTTTGATTCGCCTGAACTCAATTCATTTCTGCGTAAGAAATATGACATGAATAATGGGATCAAGTAAAATTTTACTTGTAAGGGATGGGGAATACAGGCAAGAATTTCTAACCAAATTACATTTATCTACTGGTCTGATTATTCTATAGATAATTGAATAGAATCATTTGAAGAAAGAACAAAGGGGAAAAGGAAGTAGAAAAAGTAGAGCGGCATATTATAACACTGGGTCTCTGTGTCTAGTTTCTTGTTCTATAGCATCTACACCACAAAATTAAAAAACAGAGCACTCTGTATCCAATTATGAAACCTGTCATCACAGCTAAATTGCTCCATTTCTGTAACTGGTTTAGGTCTTGCTGCCTTAAGAACTCGCTTCCATATAAACTGCATTCTTCTTCCAGGAACTCTAAGCACCTCATCTTGCCTTGCTCTCCCCCATACTCATTTATCATGAAACACTCAAAAGGGTACTTAAATAAGCTCAAGTGGTGCATGAAAATCCAGTAATTTGGTATCTTATCCTTGGCTATAAAGTACCCAGAGAAGAGGAAGAAAGATCCCATGAGGCCTGCAATCACGGATGTTCCCATGATGAAGTTTGGCACGAGAGCACTGAAACATGCTACGAAAGAGTTGGACATCAAAAGAACCAGCCAAACAACCATAGAGTAATAAAGAAATGCATAAAGTTCTTTTCTCAATCCAACTAGCCAGTAAACTGGGGTGCTGAACAGGAGGCCAATCATCAGAAGGAAGGGAAGGAAAACGAAAGTGTTGGCTAAGACGTAAGAAGAAACTCTATAAGCACCTCTTGAAGTTTCTCTTATCAGAATTCTTCTCTCCTTCAAGAAAATTGGTAGGCCTTCTGTTGTAGAAGATAACAAGAAGGTGAGGCTGAAGGCAAAAAAACCAATTCGGGTCTGTAGAGCTACATTTCCTTTATCATTGCCCACATTTAAGTAAATGGTTCCAAGTACCAATCCGGCTAACAAGGCTTGGATAACTCTTGTTGCGAAAAGTTGCTTGGTTCTGAAAATGTTGCTGCAAAATCTTTGTCCTAGGATTAGCACCTCCTCAACTCTTGTGTTGGTGTAGGAAAGATATTTTTCTGTGGGATTAATGAAGTAGGCAATCTTCAATTTGTGATTTTCCCTATCGTTTTTCATATCTTTGAAACACTGCTTATTTAGAGATTCTGAGTTTTGTGTACTTAAACTTTCCACAACATCAATGGAAAACTCTAGCACGTTGACATGAAGAGGAATATGATGGCCATCAAGCTTAAGTCTCTCTTCAAGAAGATTCAATGATCCATTATGAACAACAAACCCATTAGAGAGAAGAACAATTCGGTCAAACTGCTCAAGGATACGAAAACCAGGTTGGTGGATGGTTAAAATAATTGTCTTACCTTGCCTAACCACCATTGATTTTAGCAGTGTCACAACATGAAGAGCCGATGCTGAATCCAAACCTGAAGTTGGTTCATCGATCAAGACAACAGCAGGGTCATGAACTAGATCAACTCCAATTGAAACTCTCCGCCTTTCACCACCCGAAATCCCACAGTTTGATCCCTCACCAATCCTTGAACCAGCAACATGATCCAATCCAAGCTCCTTGATCAACAACTTCACTCTCATGGCAGCCTCTTTTCTTCCCCCTGGTAGTCTAAAAAGTGCACTGTACATCAGCGTTTCTTCAACAGTAAGTGAAGGAAACAAGTCATCTTCTTGTGTAACATACCCTGATATCCTCCTAAAATTGTTACTATCAACAGGCCCGTTATTGACAAGCACTTGGCCTGAAACTTGACACAGTGAAAGTGAAATCTTGCCAGCAAGAATTTCTAGCAAGGTTGTTTTGCCTGCTCCACTAGGACCAGCAATCGCCGTGAGCTCCCCTGGCCTTGCTTCAAAGTTAACACCATTCAAAATGAACTTAGCAGCCTTCTCTTTAGACCAACCACAACAAACCCTGTTGAACTTGTCAAATTTGCTGCACAACCTGTATGACAGGTTCTTAGTTTCTAGTCTGTATGAAGGTTTCCGGCAGCCGGAAACCGGCAAATTGATTGGCAATTCCATTGGGAAAAGAAACAGAATGTTAACGTGAGAGAAGAAATTAAAAAATATGTATAAGAGAAATGTAAAGGAGGATGAAGAGGAGAAGGAAGGAGATGAGCTAACACACCAAACTCTTGTGTTTCCCACATATACAAGTTAAAGAAAACAATGTAAAGAGAGTTGTTGGATTGGGATTCATGGGCTTTAGGCAGTTTTAGGCATTGGTTTATGTTTATCTTATGAAGAAGATGACTTTTGGTATGGAAACTTGAAGATCTACAAGGAACCATAAATGCAAATTTCTGGTGAGCTGAATGTTGACTGTGCAGGTTGGATGTTGGTGGCATCATTCATCTTCCAACTTTAACTTCACACCTCAACAGGTTGTAATTGGAAGCCTATTTTTTTAACATGTTCCATTTGCAAATTAAGGAATACAACATGTTTAGGTTCTTTTTTTTTTTTTTTTTTAATATAAGAATGTTTGTTTGTTTGTTTTTCTTATATCAAGTTAGATTAAATATTTAATTTTTAAAGTAATTCTATGCATATATTTTAGATAAATGATCTTCATGGACTTGTGTAAACTAATACTCTGTTTGGATTGTAGTAAATGATACGATTTTAATGTATATTATTTCACAGGTGTAAGAAAATCATATTTGTTTCAATTTCCAATAATAACAAATGGTATCTAACTATCAAATTTAGGATGAATTTTAAAACTATCGAATCGGTGGTATGGGAATGACATATTATTATTTTTTTCTTTATATTTAATTCTATTTTTATGTTAACAATTTATTATTTATTTTATTAAATATAAAAATTTAATTTATAATAATTATTTATTTAAATACAAATATAATTATATTAATAAATAATTTAATTTTTTTAATTATATATTTCTTATATATCATTTATTATTACATAAATAGATATGAATAAATTAATAATTTGACTGTAAATACAATCATACAATCCTATGATCCAAACAAATATATGTCATTAACATACATTAATATACAAGCATCCAAATATAAAAAATATTCTATTGTTCTCATCCTATGTCATTATCATTCAATTTTTATAATTACCATATATTAATTAATTATCACTAAAATATATTCAAACAAAATGTAAATAAACTAGGGTTTATTGGGCCCAATTAGTGAAGGGATTTTGATATTCTAATTATTCCCCAAAATATAAAAAGAAAGAAAATGAAAATGTAAACCCTCGTAAAACCCTCTCTTTTCTTATATATTGTCGTTCCTAAAGGCCATCCCTCTGTTAGGGTTTCTAATCGTCGAAAAGCTCCAGCATCGACAATGGCCACTCAGTCCCTCTCTCGCTCTCTCCTCACAAAACCCACCAAAACATTTACCTCCATTTCTCTTCTCTTTTCTCGCTCTTTCTATTCTTCTCCTTCTCTGTCCAAAACCCCAACTTCGTTATCCACTTATTCTATCCTGAATCGCATACGCCCTCTCTCTGCAGTTTTCGGTATTCGAGGTGTGGGTTCATCGATATCATCAAGGGTGTTGTCGACCCGAGCTACCTCGTCTTCTCTTAACGACCCCAACCCTAACTGGTCCAATCGGCCACCCAAGGAGACTATTTTGCTCGATGGGTGCGATTTCGAACACTGGCTCGTGGTTATGGAGAAGCCCGAGGGTGAACCCACCAGGGACGAGATAATAGATAGCTACATCAAGACCCTAGCGATGGTTGTTGGCAGGTAAAATGGATGAACTTTCAGGTTTTTAAACGGGGTTTTTTATTCTTTACGCGCGGATAGTGTTTTTTTTCTTGAAAAGACGAAAGGCTTTTGATGTTTGTACGTTTTTCGATTCTGTTTTGCTCTTCGTGCTTTTTTCTTCCGTTGTGGGAAGACGTTATGTGAATGGAGGAACAGATTTTGCTGGTAACTGTATAACTGGATTTTGATGCTTGCTGTATTTTGAACATCTGGTGATAATTGTTGAAGATGAAGATTTCCTTAGTTTTCACGGTCCTAAAGTTTTGATAGGCGTGAAATCTTTTCCCTCTCCTTGATTGTGTTAAAAGCCTGGTGATTGTTCTTGCTAAAGAGTCATTATTTGTGGCTAAA